GGATACGCCCAGAGTCACGGAACGGATTAAGTTCGTATCCCGAGGTACCACTGTATTTGAAGAAATTTAACTGTAACAAAACGATAGCATAGAATCACAGAATGTCTAGTAAACCCTGGGAACATGGAGGAAAGAGGAGGACAATTACAGAAACAATTCCTTAGTGCAGGGGAGGGGGAAACATGAAAAAGAGATATGAGTAAGCCAGCTTTAATTATGCTAGATATAAATTGATCTGGAAAATTGATGTGGTAAGCTTTCCAGATTGTGTTACATTACCCTACTAGCAATAAAGATCAAGCCAGAACAAGTGGTTCTTGTTTCCTAAGTTTGCCTGACTTGAAGGGCTTGATACATCAAATAAAAAATCAAAAGAAGTAAAGTGTATCATGTGACAAATATAAAATAGGGAGAAGATGAAGTGAAATATATAGCCAGTTATCCCAGTAAGATACGGTCACAATTTTTTGAGAATGGACATGTATTCTTAGGCCTCTGTGTTTAAAGCAAAATCATTTAACAATTAAAGATTAACAGAAGGCAAATTATCTCAAACTGTTTATAATTGAATTGTTACTACACCCTAGAACTTAACCCAAATTACTCTAATATTGGCTTTCTGATTTATGCTGAAGATTTAGTAAAACTCAGTCATGAAGTGAAACTTTAATTACAGTCTGCATGTCAAAAGGAGGTACAATGTACATAAAACTCTTACAAGCTCAGAACAAAAACGGCCCATTTAGACTATTCTTTTGGAACTTTTTTACCAGGTTGGCTTCAAATGTCAGAGCAGGTGACAGCACCTAGCCAGCCTTGCTGATCTTGAAAAAGCTAATCAGGGTTGGACCTGGTTACATTTAGGTATGAGACCATCAGGAAATCTGAAGACTAAATATCCTATAAGAAGATACTAGCACAGTACTTCAATAGTATTGCCAAGTTATATTAACTTAATTTCCTTGTTATCATGTAGTTTGCACTTCATGATAACATCCTTGTTAATCCCCTAAATTTCCTAATTAAGGGGATAAGATGAGTTCTATCAATATATTTGACGTGGAAAGTGGGTTTGGGTTTTTTTTGTCATCATCATATTGACTTGCAGAGTACTGGATTTGCTGGCCCATTGTTACAGAAAGGAATTTGTTTTTTTTCTTTCAGATTCTATACTACTGAGGATATTCTCCCCTTTTCCTTAAGATTTCATCTTTCCATGAAATTCAGGAATTTAATTTGCTGTCCTTTTGTTCTAGTCCAATATTTCCTTATAATATGATAGGCAAGAATTAGAGGTTTATGAAGTGCTAAACATTTATTTGGCCACAATAGTAGAGGAATTTTGGATTTTTTACTTTTTGTTTCATTTTACAAATTACTCTGTGGCTCGCCATATCTGGGTGGTTATGAGAGTCTAGGTCAGGGGTATTTCCTGAGGCATTGCAACTCAATCAGGGGTTGTTCCTGAGGTATTGCATTTCACTCCACTAGAAGTCTATAGTGTTTTCCACCAATACCCATTTGTGCAATACCTGAATCTTAGCAACTATATGCATGTGGTGTTATAGGCTCAATGTCTTTCTCCTGGTGAAGCTACTTTGGCAGGAGAGCCGTGTTGTTCTTTTCCCTCTAATCTCTTACAGCAAAGATTCCCACCATCAAGGACCTATTTGGTATGTCTGAGTGAAAGATACCCTCCTACACTGGGTGAAAATAGTACATTGTTACTTAAACATTTTTCACAGGGGATGGAATATGGGATTGCTCTTTTAGTATCCAATGAATTCCTCAAGTCTTCATGATAAATAAATTAAAGACATCCCAGGATGGGAAGTGAGGATTGGAACCCTGGAACAAAGCACCTTATTTTGTGAACTTGGGATAAGATGTTTTGTTCTGAGCTTGGACCATTACACACAGCCCTAGAAGGTTGTCTTTATTGTTGCTGATAATACTAGATGATATGTGAGTGGTCCACTTGGATCTCTTTTTAATTAAAAGCAATCCTATAACACTGCTGTGGAATGAGAATTTAGCATGCAGTATTTGACTTGAATTATCTTTCCAGTGTCTTTTTATTAGAAAATGCATACATAAAGAATGAAAAGGTATGGAGAAGGTCGTCTCTATTCCCACTTACCTTAATCTTTAAAAATAAACAGTGGGAAAGATTTTGATCATGGCTCTCCCAAATCTAGATTTAAAAAATACTGTATGTTACGGGAGCAGGAAAAAGCAGGATACTAATGAGATAGTTTTCTAGTGCCTTTCTCAGATCTGAAACTGAATTTGACTTTAAACATGCATATTTCTGAATCTTGTTTCTGAAAACAATAGGAAACTACAATGCATTTTGCTGAGATAACTTATAAAATAGTCTGTGTTAATTTGAGTAGTGTTCACTCAGCATTTTTGAGTGAAGATTTTTATATCCACTATTTCTTAAGTTTGACTTTGCTACTTTTTTTCCAATAACAATGTGGAGAGAGAAGAGCAAATGACTGTTAAAGCACTTCCGCACAAGCTGTTTCAACTCAAATAGATGCCTATGCTTCAACTCCTCAGCAAGCCCTATAGTGATAATGCTGGCTTGTCAATTTTGCAGCACTTTCTTAATAGCAGAATAAGCAGAGTGAAACTGACATGTCTCCCTCTTTCCTTTGGCAAGAGACCAATCTTAATGCAAAGGGCCAAGTTGCCTTGGCTTTTTAATTTATTTTTGTTACTGTCTTTTTTGTGTGAAGTGGGGTGAAGAGGTTGATGGGATTTTTGTTGCAGCAGGGCTTATAGAAGCTTGGGGATAGGGGCAGTGAGTTTTATTCTTTGTTCTGAGTCAGCACAACTAACATGGCCATTAAACTACTTTTGAGATTGGGGGTTGGAAATAATGGCAGTCTATATATTTTTAAAAGTTTTAAAATTGTTTTTTAATAATGAAATACAGACAACTACAATAATAACAGACAAGATATATATAGTATCTATAGAGAGAGAAAAGAACATAGTAATTAAAACAAACTAAACAAAAAATTTAAACATTTAAAGAAGGAAAAAGATCTATAACACATCCATTTAGTATTAATATAAAATTAATTAAGTCTTTAACCTTATTAAATCTAGACCATGTAGTGACATATTATTTCATTTTTTTCATTTTTAGAACCGAAAGACTTTTCAAAAATAGATTACAGACTCATATCCTGATTCAATTCCTTAATATTAGGAGGATGAGTCTATTTCCATTTACATATATTATCCTCTTTACCAATAGAGCCAAAGCTTTTCATGAAATAATTCCATCTTTTAGGAATATAGTTCAGCTATCAATCAAATCATATTTAAATCTTTAGTTTTTACATTTATTTCCAAAATTAATTAAATAGCATTAATATATGCTATGATTTGAAACCAAAACAAAGCTTTAGCTGGACAAGACCAAATCATAAGAGTTAAAGAGCCCTCACATTTCTTACAGTGCCAGCACAAAAAAATGAATACTGTATCCAATCCTTTTTAAGCAATGGTGGTCTAGAAGTGTCCTTATACAGTGTGTGGCGATGGAATAAAAAACAATGAGAATTGAATACTATCTTTACCCAATACAATGGCTCTCAGAGGGCTTATGCTAACATATAATTTACATTTTCCCTTGTTTGTGTCACATTCTAAGTTGTCTTCTTTCCTCAGTCACATGGACATGCCTGTGGTTTGTTGGATTCTGTTTCCTAGCCAATCAGTGGAACCGGTCAACTCACTCCTACCTGCTGGGAACTAGTGCTGCACGGGGTAGCATTGCCTTTGCCTTCCTTTCTGTTCCATGCTGGGTGAGTCAGTCAAGTACATCCATTATTATTTCAGAATGAGAACCCTTACTGAGTCTGCCATGGAAGCAGAGTACATCCCTGCAGAGTATCATTAGCCACAAAGACAATTTCATCTTATCAAGCCCAAATGGACTGCCTTAAGGAAGCAGATATCATATACTTTACTCATTAAATCAGATGAGGATAATCCCATAATGGATGGTGTTTACTTTTCAATGAAATTATTTTTTTTTATTGTACAAGCAGTTTGGTTCAGCTTGTGTAGGTAATATTTGTATTTGATCATTTCTTAAATGTACTGCTAAAATGTAGGCATTTCAGAAGGATGTATCAGACTGAGCTAAGTCAAACTAGCACTCCTATATAACACTTAGATTTGGAGTGGTTGCCAAATAGACAGTCATATTATAAGCCTAATGATCTTATGATTCTTCAGATGCGGCTGAACTACAATCTTCTAGCACCTTTGCTAGAATGGCTAATTACTAATAGAGAAAGATGATGGGAGTTGCAATTAAGTGACATTTAGAACACCACAGGTTCCCTACCCCTGCACTACTGTCAGATATCTAAGAAGCTTAGACTAGATAACTCATGTTTGTCTATTGAAAGAATAGATGACATTTTCTGTTACTATTTTTTGTTGCTTCTGTGTCTTCCATTTTTTGCTGTCTTTCCTTGTAATTTTCTGTACTATCATTCTAAATCCCTCTCAGGTCACCCATTTCCTGTGAAGATTGCTTCCTGTGCATAGATCATTTTGCATTACAATGAAAAGGGGCTCTAATTCCTTTAGGTTGGTAACTAAAGTTGATGGTTCATATTAAAAGCATCAAACCAAACTACAGTATAAGCTTATTTTCTGGGATATTAGTATTTTAACTACAGAAATAGAACAGAGGGGAAAATATGCCTACTCTGTGTTTCAAACTTTAAAGTTACAATCTATTTCCTTTAATTTCTGGGGTTGAGAAAACTGCCTCAGGAATGAGTTCTGAAGCAGGTTTATTCCTTCATTTGTTGTGGAACAGGATGACTCACATTTCCCATCAGTGAAATATAGAATTAATCAGGAGGAGCCTTCACATACAAGCAATTGCAGCAGGCATTTATTTACAAACTTGGCACAGAACAAACTCAAGCAATTCAGAATTCAGTCTAGTCCATGAATGATGTTCATTAAATCAGGAAGGCTGAGCAGTTAACATACATTTTAGATCCAACAGAGACCACATTGGTAACAACTTACTTGACCTCCTGTCAAGCTCAGGGCATTTTAATTCCCACTGCTTATTGTGGCACTTTACTAAGTACATTTTGCAGAAAGTACACCTTTGATCAAAGTCTTAATTTATAACTGCAATGAGAAACTGCAGATTTCTTGTTAGTTTCCCTCAGTTATGAAGAGAGATTATCACGATTAACAGGGAATTAATGAATCCAGACTGAACTTTGTAGAAATTGTGTGGATCCTTCTTCTGCAAATTGTGTTTTTCAGAGTGCTTTATAATTTTATCACCAATTTAACCAGATGGAATGTTATGCTTTCAGAGTTTTCTGGTTCCTTAGAGCCCTTTTAAAAGCTGGGTGGCAATAAAATGCTTTCCAAGAATTTATAGAGGCCAGTTAACAGGGTCAGAGAGTACAAAGTATTCCCCAGTGTCTAAAAAATTTATCCAAAAGAAGATGACCCTGAGTTGTAAACACCTTTGCCCCTAAGGAAGAGTAGACAGAAAAAATAAGCACAGACAAAAATCCTACATGAGTCACACTCAAAAAAAGGGCAGGATCCACACAAAAGAAAATACACATTTAATTAATGGCTACTGATTTAAAATTAATTGCCTATAAAATAAGATACCCCTTTTATAAAAAAAAAATTGAGCCCTCATCTGCATCTGTCAAACATTTTCACTCTTACATACATAAACGCACAAGTATACAGTTCACATTCCACTCCCTCCTAGCAGAAATGGTAAAAAAGAAGCAAAAAACCCTTAGAATGAAGGTGGGATAAAGCTAAGGGGTAGTTGTATGGGGAATGGAAGGAAAGAGAAAGGGGGAAACAACACTGGATGGAGATGAGGTGAGGGAAAGAGATAACTAGAAAAGAAAGGGAAGAGAAAGTTCAAGGTTTAGGCATTACTAAAAGCAGGCGGGCCATCTCTCCTAAATTTAATATTAACTCCTAATAATCAAAGTCACCAATGCCTTTCAGCAGCAATGGTCTGAGTCCTGTGTAGCTCCTGCTCATTTGTTTAACAGCAATATAGGAGAACCCGTTCCTTTCCAATTTACATATAATTATTTGGAGGAAGTATACTTTTATTCGGTAAATACAATTAATTCCTTTTCCCAATACTACTGTCTCATCCAGAGATCCCTTAAATCTGTTTGTTTAGTAGATTTTATGCATGAATGAGATCACTTTTCTTAGCGAACCACCTTGGAGTCCATAGACTTTAGCATTTTTCCTGGTAACCTAAATTTTGCTTCCAAGACCCCACAATTACATTCTCCTACCTTCTCATGAATTCTTAAGCATTATCTTCTAGCCTATTAAGACAAAGAATGACACTGTAGTCTTTGCTCTACTATGTATCCTACACATGGATTATTAAAAGCCTCTTTCTTTGATATCTCACTGCTAGGTCTATTATTCAGCACAAGATATATTTTTAACTGTAAGGAAATACTTGCCTTTTAAGAGATCACTTCCCTTTTCTTGGAAACTCAGCTTTTATTATTGTATACTTATGAATGAATACCTGCCAAATATACTAGATGAAAGTTTTAATTGGATATAAACGTTTTAACCAATACTGTAGGGCAGTTAATGGAAAAATATCTGTTCATATCTATATTTAATGCATCTGGCTACAAGAAATGAGTTCTGAGTTTATACAGTAAAATTCTTCAATGGGAACACAGCATATGTCTCAAGGAAGAAACATTAAGGACAGGCATGGCACCAGTTGCCCACCTTTTAGATGGGGAGAGCAATAATTTGCTGGTGGCAATGCACAATAATTCAGTGGTGTTTTACATCATATAGTTGGGTTATGTTTTGTATTATAGCTGTCTTGTGCATTGCTTTGATCTTTTTTCCCAAGGTTTTAAGGGCAAAAAGTATCTTTTCATTTTACATATCATACAAATATCTCCTGGATTTAGGGGCAATCCAGAAAGTTTAATCATCTCAGATTCATAGGATCTTATACCACAATCTTCACTGTTTCCAAGAATAATGCCAATGGAACAATGGCATTTCACTTGAAAAGGTTTAAGCTTTCATGAGCTTACTTCATCAGGTGCACAGTGGCTAGACTGATGTAGAATTTAAATTATGGGGTGGAAGGGAGAAAGGAGGTGAAGTTAGATTGGTTATGCAGATGCAAGTTACATGTGAGTCAGATTACAGATACCTTCTCAATTAATAATTGTGTTAAAAAACATTGTGTTTGTTAAGATCTTCTGAGATTGTCTGAAATCATTCAACAATTTCTTGCCTGATGGTGCCATTAAGTCCTGCTTTTCTGAAAGAGTCACTTTGAGTTCTGCTATGGAATGTTCTGTAATTGTGGGGAAAATAAGAGGCAGGAATATTAGGTATGTTCACTACCTTGAGTTGATCAAATATTAAAAAAAAAAAGGCAGGATAAAAATATCATCATCATCATCTACTTGTAATCTGTCTCACATGTAAAGGAAATTCAGGATGGAAATTCTTCTTATATCCTCAACAATCATGGAGCAGGTTTTTCCTAGTTTATGGAAGCTTATTTCTACTTCATTCATCATCAGTTTTAATGTATATGTCAGATGAACAGTGCCAGATGAAAGTAATTCTTTTTCAGCTTATGTTAAGATTTTAGGTGGCACTGGTGATTTTTCTCACAGGATTCACATTTACTCTTATCTACAAAATTTACTCATTTGACCTCAGATACAAGATATTCAGAAAATACTGCACTGCCTATAGAACGTGTGGATTCCTGACAGATGTTGAGAGGAAAATCATTTGTTTCAAGAGATACAGCTCCTGGGGTTAATGCTAAACATACAAACAGTTATTGTCACTTGGAGCAAACAAGATTTAACATGGTAGATCAAGCATCCCTAGGTCCATATTTGGGTATGGTACTGCTTGTCCATTGTATGCTCTGAATGACAAGCTGTATAAATTGTGTGCCATTGGCCAGAAAGTATTCAGACCACTTCAGTGGTTCATTCTACCTTCTCAGACAGATGTAACAGCTCAGAGAGACAGAATCATTGCCCAGGAAAGTTAAATCATCATTCAGCTGGTGCATTTCTGTAGCTCTCTTAAAGGGTAAACCTTTCTAAGAGCTTTCTTCATCAGATCCTGGTCTCTAGAGCTAAGGAGGCATACTGTGAGATTTTTTTTCCCAAAGGGTTGCTAATCTCAGAACAAGAATCTCAGTATAAATTGGTTGGAACGAAAAGTAGTATACTAATACATATTTTTCAGCATTCAATTCAAGGCAAAGCCTGTCTTGGCCCACACATATCATCAAGTCCACTTAAAATAATGAGAGGAAACTTATTCTCAGTCCCTAATGCACTAAGTCACCTTTTGGTTGGACTGGGCAGGGGCCCATCTTAAATATCAGCAAAACATGTGCAAGATTTAAGAATCAAACCAGAATGGTGTATGTTCTATCTACTGTATATGGAATATCCATCAATAGTGTTCATTTGGGAGTTTAGTGATTTGTCATAACAGCTGTTAACCTTAATGTCTCTCTAGCAAACAACAAAGCTAACAGACCTTATCTTATCTCTGTACCCAAAGCAAAGAAAAATGAAATGTTTTATCACTCTATGGCCTCAGAAATATATGCCTTCCCTTGAGGACTCCAATTAGTATTACTGCTCTGCAAGATACAATTGTAAAGAGCACTTTAATTTTAGTGGCTCCAAAGAATTAGTAGCTAAGAAAAACTTGATCTTAGATCCATCCGTAACAAGACTGTGGTCCCTATCTATTATGAAGGACCTTCTTAGGCTTTAGTTTTTTACCTAAATCCAGCCTGGCTATGAATGTTTATGTGGCTTTTGAGAATAACAGGTATAAGCATACAGTCATTGATATTATTTTATATGTAGGAGACTCCGCAAACAGGGTATATGAATCAGATTTTTATTACATAATGTAGAAAAAAAAAAGTGTGGATTCAACCCAGGCTAAAATCAAAGTTCTTGCCTTCCTCAAAGGATCAGGGCCTCCAACATAGAGATAGGTGAATGCTATTGCATTTATTTTTTCCTCTAATCCTCTGCTAGCCTAGCTGCCTGCTCTTATAGCTAATGTTTTTTTAGAGGTATACCCTGCTAAAAATCCCAATTGTTGATGGGAATTTGCACGGGATATTCAATCAATATTTTGATACTATTTGAAGTTCTATGTCTTTACTTTTCTTACATTTTCCCTGAATGTATACTAAAATGTATATTTTAGTTCTGGAAGTACACGTATTTAGTAGAGGGAAGTGACTGTCTATATTTGATGTTGATGCATCTTAAAACTCAGAGCAGGTTGCTTCATCATTAGGGGAGACATTTGTAGCTTCATCCAAATATTGCCTTGCACTGGAACAAGTGGGAGGAATAGTTCATTTATGGATATCCTCTGTTCACTGCAGAAAGCATATGCATCACATTAAGGACCCAATTTTTTTCTCAATTTTTTTCTAAAAATCCTATTCTGGAAAAATGTTGTGTTTTTCAACTAGTCATTTGAAAATGATCGAGCAAAGTATATTTCATTCATTTCTGTCAGAAACAAAGTGGTTGTTATAAAACAAACAGCTGAGAGAATGTACTACTTATCAAGCTAAATACTTCATTGTTCCTTAAACCTTCTACACAAACATTTCAAAAAGGCCAACATTTTATCCATTATTATAGTATTTTGTAATGTTATGCTAAATCTCCCAGGACAAGATCAAGTTTTCTTATCATAAGCTAACACATGTTCTCTAGTTAATATATGCTTTTCCCTTGGGTTTTGCTGTCAATTTATAACAGCACAGGAACCAGCCAGTTCTACAGCTGAATACAGGTACCTGACCTGCCACCTCTTCTCTTCCACAGGTATACCTAGCCTATCTGGCTGTGAAGAACCTGTGGGCTGAGCCACCTGTGCCGTATAAGCGGACGCTGGATGAAGGATCTGTTGCCCTGACCACCCTTTCCACATCTACCACCACCTCTCTTCCCAATAACATGGGGTTCCCTGAAAATGTGGGTGCAGCTTCCTACCCATCCACTCCTGTACCCCATCGACTAACATTAATGAATACTGATGACTAGACAATTATTTGTTCCTATAGTAAATAAAGAGACTTTATTAAAAAAAATCAAAATGTGTTTGTCTGAAGTTGATTTTACTGAAGCAAAGCAAAAATTAAGATGGATGGACAAGGAATCTGTAAGTACAATATAACAAAAGGCCATAATAATAATACACAGAAGCTTCATAAAGTCTGGATGTTCATCCAGATCCTTCTTTCCTTGTTGGGGCTTCATACATACTGACTGCTTGTCCTGTCCCTTAAAACCAAATTAAGACCAACACATTGGAGACTTGTATCTTAACATGCTAAAAGCCAGCATGCAAGAGGAAAAATAATACATATGGAGCTGCCAGGGTACTGCGTTATATTTTCAGAAGTGGATATAGCATTGTGTAGGTATTCCGGTTAAAAGCCCATTTTAAGACATAAAAACAAGCATGTGGGGAAATACTAATATTTCCTATTCTCCATTCAGTTGCTTATCTATAGGCAATTGGTAATCTCTCCAATCAAGAAGAGACAAATTGCAAAGCTGGTATGAAGAATTCTATATATTATGCCTTTATCCTACCAGACTGATTCAGATATGCTGCTTATTTGGGTTATGTGAATCCTACACTGCAAGACTGTGTGGAAAGGAATTCAGTATGAACACAGCTGAGGCTGTACACATGGATATACCCCAGAGGGGCCAACTGTAACTGCCTTAACCATTGTGGCAATTTTCTAGCTCATGTGATCACAGAAGTGGCTACTAGCTATTGCAGGCAGTACCTGTGTGTAGTATAAGCTACAAATTTTTCCAAGGTGTTCCATGGAAAATGTAAGTGATAAAGTGAGCTACCCCACCTTAATTCATCTAATAAGGATGCCGAGTTACATTTTTAGCAATCAGTTTTCTACAGGAAGCAACTTTAGAACCATGATAATTCATGTTGACCAAAACTAGACAATTTACCAATTGCTGCTGAATCGTAAATATGTAAATAAGCTCAGAATCTTAGCCTAGACATTCATTTTCCAATGGCTAATCACAATTAGAAACAAACTGCAAATGTTTTGCTTTATAAATTTAAGAAACTAGCTGAGGAACTGTAGTAGTTGAGCACTGCTTCAACAGATTGTAATTTAGTATGACTATTTAAAAATGGTCCCTTCCCATACATGCACTGAATTCAATGGGACTTAATTCTAAGTAACTGTGTAAAATTGCATGTTGAGTGCAATCTTACCTTCATAGTCTTCAAAGCAACAATTCTAAAGATTTTTTTTTAATTGAATTGAAATGTTATGTTTAAAGATCTCATCTTATGCACTCATCCAAAGGGTGCCCTGGCTATTAACTTCTGAGTCAGCACATACATACCTGTACTTTAAATCAGGCTATAATGCAAATCGGAAGCCTAGATTGGCTAAAACATGGCTTCAATTTATGTTTCCACTGATTGTTCAAGGTCATAGCAGCAGCACAACAGAGATTAAAAATGTACTTATACGAAAACATACAAATTTGCGATCGATTCAGAGATGATGTAGTATCAAGGCAGTAGTATCAAGGAGCAGCAAAGATGTGACATTTATAGAAAGCACGTTCTGACATAAGCATTTAATGTAGAATAGGCCCCAGGAGAATCAGTCACTGCTTTAAGAGAGTTCAGAAAAAGCATTATAAAAAAGGTTAATGTGGGACAATGAAGACATGAATAGTAAAGCACAAAGATTACAAACAGGCAAAAAAGCAGAATTTATTTTTATTTAAATTCCCATCCTTCCCACAAAGGCACTAATTAATAAGGGAAAGAGTTTTTCCATTTTATTTAAAGTAGATGAAGATTTAACCATCAAATAATACAAAAACGAAGAAAGAGTAAGTGACAAATATTTAAAGGAGAGGTTATTTTCTTGCCACTAATGTTTCAAAACTGAGATTCAAAGAAACCCATACTTAAAAGAAACACAGTTTACAAGCGCTCCTGTCTATCTGGATAGCTTTGCAGCACCAGGCCTTCATGAACAGAAAAGCTTGCGTTTCTTATCAGCGTTTATCAACATAACACCCAAAATAATGAGTGCAAACTAAGAGGACAGAGATAACAGAAGTTTTTTTTAAATGTATTTCCTACCTGTGCTGATTCATCAAAAAAATAATACTCAAGCGTTATAGACACTGAGACTGATCAAATGGATTTTAAAAAACCCAAAAATCTACAATCTACATATTAACCAGGAGTAGTCATTGTTAGCTTGGGATTCAAGCTGGACTTCGCCTCACCCCATCTATAGCAGTCTGTTGAGTAGAAGAACCATCCATGGTTTTGTCTCAAACCACACTTAGATCAGTTCAGGCTGGAAGTTGAGATCAATAGGTCACTAACTTTTTTTTTTTTTTAATCTGAATCTGCGTGTCTAATTTTCTGTGAAGCATTCCCTTCATCCTCCTTGGCCAAAGTATTGCCGCCTTGATCTCAACTTATGCAGGCAAACTCAACTTCTTGCCTTTTAGAACTGCAAGAGGAAATAGAAATAAAAAGATATAAGAGCTTAGGGAGGTGTACTTCATTAAACTTTAGGCAACCTACGAAATGGGTGCCACTGCCTCTAGAAAGAGAAAAAATATTGTAAACAATACTTTAATTAAGAAAGCATTAACCAAGAATAGTCAATACATACAGTGGGGCAAAAAAGTATTTAGTCAGCCACCAATTGTGCAAGTTCTCCCACTTAAAAAGATGAGAGAGGCCTGTAATTTTCATCATAGGTATACCTCAACTATGAGAGACAAAATTGGGGGGGGGAAATCCAGAAAATCACATTGTCTGATTTTTAAAGAA